TGAAGTTATGGCAGATCGGGCTAGTAGTTAAATCATCAGTTTCGCTCACCAAGGCTCCCGATTTCCTATCAGCAGCACACCCAACATTATCCATAGATTTATGTTTTAAATGTGAATAGGAGAACCATATGATATATTAACCCTTTTAAATGCATGGGTTGAGTATCTATCGAATGAATCCGACTCTTTCCTTTTTCCAAACGTCTTCGTGTACTGTCACTCTCTATCTCGTTCAGGATCAGTTGATAGGATGTTCGCCGATCAGCAAAGTAGTTGCATTCTGCGACAGCAAATGCCTAGAGCATCAAGGAAGGATTTCATTTCGCAAATTGCTCCTTCTCAACCCATGCCTGCCAGGACAAGTCCTACGTCGAGATTAGACTGGTTCTTGTTGCTGTCCATAATCGCCCTGTTGACATATGTCAACGGTGGCTCAGTGGCGGCCAAGGTGTTCAATGATAACACAAAAGGCGAAGTACCGAACCGTGCAGCAGATGCTCAAACCCGACGATATTTGCGGGAGCCAAATTGGTTAACAACTGGTAACGACGGCGACAACTTCGAAGAGAGGGCCATCGACGTTAAACTGCCAATGACGGCGAAGCTTCAAAATCTCGTAAATTCACCGACGCTGAAAAGCCTCGCAACAAGTATCAAGCATCGCTTGACTTCCAACAACCAGATAGCCACTGACAAGCTTTTCGCGCGCCTCAATGTCGGAGCAGCTGAGTCGAAACTGTTTGAAAGCGCACCCTATCAACAGTGGGTTCAGTCTGTCACCACAGCCTACAAGAACACCCCAGGAATGGGCGAAGCTGCGATGTTCTCAACACTGACAACTCATTACGGCGATGAAGTTCTGGCCAAACTTCTAGTAAAAAAAATGAAGTTCTGGCCAAACTTCTAGTTGAAGCGCAACAAATTTCCAAGACGAGGAGCATTGCCGAACAATTTCAAGCCTTGCAGATTGACAATTGGGTTGCAAAGGACCAAAAGGCGGACGATATCTACGCGCTATTGAAACTCAGCGTGGCCGATGACGCTCTTTTGAAGAATCCATTGATGAACACCTGGATCTACGTAACTAGACTCGGGAAGGAGGACCCATATGATTTGTTGCTGCTCAAGTTGAAGACACGCTATGACGAAGCTGAACTAGCTCACCTGCTAATTGCTGCAAAGGCAGACAACAGTGCGGAAAGTGTTGCGAAGAAGGTGGAGCAGGCACAGCTTAAAAACTGGCTGACCGGTGGAAAGACAGAAGACGACGCCTTCAACCTACTTCGACTTAGTATTGATGACGGTTATGAAATTCTGAAGAACCCAGCTCTGAGCACGTGGAATTCGTATGTGAAAATGCTCAAACACAACCCAGACGAGTTGTTGTTTTTAAAACTGAAGAGACAATTCAGCGATTACGAGATAGCGAAGGTAATTGTAGCTGCGACGAGGGACACCAAGGTGACGATAAATCTTGGGGGGGGGGGGGGGGTTGGAGAAAATGCAGCTCGATAGTTGGGTCAAACTTGACAAAACTGCAGACGACATTTTCAACGTTCTGAAACTGAACAAGGAAGGGGACAAACTCTTTGAAAGCCCGGTGTTGAGCTACTGGGTCGCCTTCGTTATGAAAGGGGACAAGGAGAACGCAGATGAGTTGATGTATTCCGTGATGAAGAAATACTATGGTGATGATATGCTAGAAAAGTTGTTTGCTCGGGTCAAAGGCAGTGCGTCTACGAAAAGACTGGCCTCAAAACTTGAGCAAGAAATGTGGATGAGCCACGGCAAAACAGAAGACGACATTTTTAACTATCTGAAGCTTGGTGAGAAAGGTGACGGTATCTTCAAAGACCCGGCGCTGAGTACGTGGGTTTCTTACGTAAACAAGCTGAACAAACACAGAGAAAACCTGACGAGTTCGCAGTTATCTCGGCTCTAGAGAAGCACTTCGATTATGTGGATCTTGCACGAAAGCTTGGGTATGCTGAGCACCAAGCCAAGATGAAAGGAGATACGGTAGAAATTGTTACCAGCTTGCAGAACCTGCAGTTTAAGCAGTGGATGACCGAAAAAGGTTTGGATCCTAACAGAGTTGGAAGACTGCTAATTAAGAGTCCTCGTGACACGCGAAATAACCGCGTCTTGCTCGATTTCTATGATTTCTACCGTGCTAACGGCGGTCAAGTCAAGTTACACTTGAGAAACATGTAGCGCTAGTCTAACTGCTTCATAAGTATTCGCCTGACGAGTTTTTGTTATCGTTACGTACGTGGGGTCATTTTTGCCGAGCGAATCATACCATGTGCGAGAAACACGCCGTGATGAACCGAAGAGCTCTCGCGGTCTTTTTTTAAGTCCGCGAGATCTGCGCAGCCACTGTTCGTTGCGCTTGGAATCTCTCGATACTCTTACTTTGTTATGGTCTCATAGATAAGATCCTCGCGAGTTATCTACGTCGCGTCTCCCAGATCTTCTGTGAATAACTGTTCAGAGTCAAATGTACTTGTGATCCGAGAAAAAACCCACTGAAGTGAAGTTTCATTGAATTTTCTCGGATCACAAGTGCACTCCAATAACCTTTAAATTCGCTCGAAGGATTCGTGGTCAGCTTAATCCTTTCGCGAACACAGTGACTATGTATACTATAATAATTCAAGAGGTTCGAAGTCGGGTTCACGACGGGCATCCTGATTAGCCGCTTGTGCAGTTGGAGTGATGCAAGC